AATACAGAAATGGCTGCAAGCATGCATTGACAGAGAACTTCCAGAGGTTCAAGCCAGATTCAGAAGAGGACATGAAATGAGGTATATCATTGTTGATGTCCAATGGACCTTGGCTGAAAGCAGACAATACCAGAAAGACGTTTACCTGTGTTTTATTGACTATGCAAAAACTTTCGATTATGTGGATCATGACAAGCTATGGACAACATTGCAAAGTATGAGTATTCCGGAACACTTATTTGTGCAAATGAGGAATTTGTACGTAGACCAAGAAGCAGTTGTTCGAACAGAACATGGGAACACTGAATGGTTTAAAATTAAGAAAGGTGTGCGACAGAGTTGTATTCTTTCACCATAATTATTCAACCTATGTGCTGAGCAAGGAGTCCTGGTGTGGCACTGTGGGCTAATGCATCAGACCGCAGTCCTTTAAACTGCAAGGTCAGGGGTTCAAGCTCACCAGATGCTCCTTGGAAACCTTATACAAGGTCGCTATTGGCCAGAATTGATTTGACAGCATTTAACAACAACAACAAATGCTGAACAAATAATCTGAGGAGCTGGGTTATATGAAGAAAAATGGGGCATCAGGTTTGGAGGAAGATTCATTAACAACCTGCAATATGCAGATGATACAACCTTGCATGCAGAAGTGAAGAGGACTTAAAGTATTTACTGATGAAGATCAAAGAACTCAGCCATCGGTATGGATTGCATCTCAATGTAAAGAAAACAAAAGTCCTCATCACTGAACTAATAAACAACAGTCTTATCAACGGGAAAAAAATGAAGTTGTCATGTACTTCATTCTTCTTGGATCAATTATCAACACTCCTGGTAGCAGCAGTCAAAAAATCAGACAATGTATTGCATTAGGCAAATCTGCTGCACAAGACCTTTATAAAGTGTTGAAGAGCAAAGATATCAGCTTGAAGACTAAGGTGTGCCTGGCACAATCCATGGTATTTTCAATAACCTCATATGCATGCAAAAGCTGAACAGTGAATAAGGAACACAGTGGAAGAATTGATGTTTTTGAGTTATAATGTTGGAGGAGAATGTTGAAAGTGCCATGGGCTGCCAAAAGAACCAATAGATCCATTTTGGAAGAAGTGCAGCCAGAGTGCTCCTTGGAGGCCAGGATGGCCAAACTTCGTGTCTCATACTTCAGACATATTGTCAGGAGGGACCAGTCACTGGAGAAGGATATCATGTTTGTTAAGGTGAAGGGTCAGAGAAAAAGAGAAAGACTCCCAATGAGATGGATTGGCAATGTGGCAGCATCAATGAGCTCAAACGTGGCAACAATTGTGAGATTGGCCTAGGACTGGGCAGTGTTTTCTGTTGTATATAGGGTCACTATGAGTCGGTACCAACTCGATGGCACATAACAACAACATATGTATGCAGTAACCCACAGCACCACACCAGGACTCCATATATATATGCTGTGGAACCGTGGGTTATTACATATACATATACAGATGTAATTTTTTTCTTTGTTTGTGTGTTTGTTTATTTGTTTGTTTGTTTGTTTAAGGGCTGTTGGATAAGTTCTGACTCATCTTGACCCAAGGAGCAGCTGGTGAGTTTGAACCGTCAACCTTGTGGTTCAAACAGAACTTACAGTCTAGAGCTTATCCTACAAAGCCACACCAGGACTCTATGGCACACCCCCATTACCTCCACAATATATATATATATATATATATATATATGTTGTTGTTAAGTGTCAACAAGTTGATTTGGACTCATAGCAACCCTATTTTGCATAAGCAGAAAGCCTTTTATTTCTCCCACAGAGCAGCTTGTGGGTTCAAACGAGGATCTTGTGGTTCATTGTCCAGTGCTTACCTTGTATATATAAAAAGATAGAGAGAGGGAGGCTCTTGGTCTGGTGCTGTGAGATAAAGTACTGAACTGCAAAGTCAGTTCAAACCACAAGGTCGGTGGTTCAAACTCATCAATTTCTCCTTGGAAACGCTATACAGGATTGCTATGAGTCAGAACAGACTCAATGGCACTTATCAATACACATATGTGTGTGTGAGTGCATGTGTGTATAGCCAAAGATCCCTATTGATACTGGGATTAAAGTGATCAGCTGATAACTGGAAATTCGGTGGTTCAAACCCACCAGCTGCTCCATGGGATAAAGTGTGGCAGTCTGTTTCCATAAAGATTTACAGTCTTGGAAACCCTGTGGTGGAGTTCTACTCTGTACTATAGGATCACTTTGAATCAAATTCAGCTAAATGAAAATGAGTTTAGTTTTGGTGTATACTCATATATCCCCTGGGTGGCACTCGAATAAGAAGGAACCCTTGTGGCACAGTGGTTAAGTGTTAGACTACTATCCCAAAGATCAGTGGTTTGAACCCACTGTCACTCTGCAGGAGAAAGATGCAGCAGTCTGCTTCCATATTTGCAGTCTTAGAAATCCTATAAGGCAATTCTGCTCTGTCCTATAAGGTCTCTATGTGTGAACTAGACAGCAATAGGTTTAGCACTTGATGACTAACAAAAAAAGCTTGGTGGTTTGAACCTACCCAGAGGCACTACAGAAGAAAAGTCTAGCAATCTGCTTCTGAAAGTTCACAGCCTTGAAAACTATATGAAGTGAAGTTCTATTCTGCAGTATATGTGGGTGCTATGAGTTGGAATCGACTTGATGAAAA